TATAGATTTAGATTTCTTTAGATTCAAAGGTTTATCTTACAGCTAAAGTACCTTAATAATAAAAAAGTGAATGTTTTATTTATAAAATAATATTAGTAACATTAAAGACATTTTTTGAAAAATAGAAACTTCCCTAATTCAGTAATGATCATAAAATTTTTTTATTCTTTTTTTGAAAAACACCTTTTAAATTGCAATTGAGGCTTTATTTCCCAGTTCTTCCACAGATAAAATTCTAAAGAATTCAGGCCCTGGTTAATCCAGTATCTCTCCAAATTTTGGCCACCAATCAGATATGAGATGCTTATATGGGGTCCAAGGAATAAGCTAAGTGACACTGAATCAGTGAGGAATTTATTTCCTCTTCAGTATCTTGCAGTTCCTGTGACTGCATCAGGAAGTTCTCAGGTTGATGGCAGAATGTTATCAACACCTCTGTAATTCTTGCTAATCTCTCTTTTAAACAAAGAACAGGCTTAGAGTGTTCGACAGCAAATTGTTTCTAGAGTTTAACAACACTTTTGTTTTCATTATTTTCATCTTTATGTCTACTTCTGTTTATGGGAAGTGATATCTACTTTTTATTTATTTATTTTTAATTAAAAATTTTTTAATGTTTTATTTATTTCTGGGAGAGAGAGAGACAGTGTGAGCAGGGGAGGGTCAGAGAGAGAGGGAGATACAGAATCTGAAACAGGCTCCAGGCTCTCAGTTGTCAGCACAGAGCCCAACATGGGGCTAGAACCCACGAACTGTGAGATCATGACCTGAGCCAAAGTCGGATGCTTAACCGACTGAGCCACCTCGGCACCCCTATTTTTAAGGTTTGTTTATTTTTGAGAGAGACAGAAGGTGAGCAGGGGTGGAGGAGGAACAGAGAGAGAGAGAGAGAGGGAGACACAGAACTAGAAGTGGGCTCCAGGTTCCATTCTGTCAGCACAGAACCTGATGTGGTGCTTGAACTCACAACTGGGAGATCATGACCTGAGCCAAAGTCAGATGCTTAACCAACTGAGCCACTCAGGTGCCCTCTACTTTTTATTTTTGGTGGTTATTTCAAGTTTTCTTTAAAAATTATGTTAATAACTACATGCATACAAAGAAATGCAAAGAAAATAAGTATATAGGAAGTATGCAGATATGGACAAAGTTCAAAGAATATAAGAATGACTACTGTTGGAGAAATACTATACTTATCCATTTGGTCAACAAATAAATACAAGTGCCTACTATGAGCATATAGTTAATTTATATTTTAACATTCTGATTATGGTGTCACATTTTCTGACTTGTGTATTAACTTCCATGTTTTAAATTCTTCCTTCAAGACCTGGTTTCCTAATAAACTAGGCCCACCTGGAGATTTACTATTGTTTGGTACTAATGGGGAATGATTTCATTTGGAGTAGCAGCTTAAAGTGATCACTAAAATACAGCATTTATCCTACAAGTGGTTTTAATTTTACTCTTTTTATAACTTCTGTCAGCTCAACTAAATCAGTTATTAGTGAATTTCTTAGTATATAATGTCAACATATGCCATCCATGATAACATACTAGATCTTCTGTGTAGAAGAAAGCCAACAACATCAAAATTGAGAGATTTCTGACTTTCAACAATTCTAAGCTTATTTGTCAGGCAAACAGTTCCTATCTTTTATTGTAATTATCAAAAAGATGTTTTCATTGCTTTAACTACAGTCTCCAAATCAGATTATCACGATATACTTCTCAAACTCCATATAACTATATATTATAGTGCAAGAAACAACTCTTTCAGCTTTAAGGAAGTATAGTTGTGTGCCACTCCCCCTCCCCCCTCAAGGTAGAAGAATGGAAGAGACTGAACAAGTAACTATTGTTATGCTGCAACTTTAAAAGGCTTGAGAATCAAAGGTGATAATAGTTAACAACTTCCTTATGACTAACCTGACTTCCTCTAATAAACTTCTGCGCTCCTTTCCTTTCCACCCGCAACATGGAACCTTAACTATAGCTGGTATTCGTGTCTCCTCAATCCTAGAACCCACCAGATGAATGAGACGGCATGAAGCCTGGATTCCACCAACAAAGAGGTTACTCCGCGCGCCTTCAACGCACAGGTGAGACCTCCACCCCCAACCTTGCGCACCACTGGGCCCCCTGCGCAGGAGGCCCCACCGCCTTGGGGCCGCCCTCCAGCCTCCCCCCAGCCCCGGCCCGCCGATCCCTGCGCAGCTCCCGCCTCTCTGGAAACCGGAGGGCGACCGGCCGGCTTCCAAGCTCCAGGCGGGGCCGGGGCGGCAACACCCCCGACGCCACAGCAGCCTGCCCCGCGGGGCGTCCCCGCAGCTCCGGAACAAGCCAGGCCGAGGAGGCCGCTAAGGGCCGGCAGCCGGCCTCGCGACCGCGCTGGGGGCGGGGACGCTGTTACCTGCCGTGGGCTCGGCCGCTCCCCGCCGGCGCCGCTCTCCTGGCAACCGCGGCAGCGACGCGGAGACCGGGGGCCGTAGGGCCTAGTGACAGCTCCCAGCGTGCACCGCGCTCGCGCCCACGCCGGCGTCGACGTCGACGGCCCTCCATCCCCGCCCCCGGTCCGTACTTCGCCTCTCGCGCTAGCTGTCGCCACAGCGCCGTCAAGCGGACTGCTGGGGAAGCTGCCCATGGATGGGTCTGGAAAATAAATAGCAGGTGTTTTCAACTCTCCAGCACCAGGGGTATCTTAATGGAGAGTTGGCAGGAATGCTAGGAATTGAGAACAGCTTTTAAATATTATTTAAACAATCACGTAAGTGCTATTTAAACGATTCCTCAATATGTCGTATAAGGAACTTGAGGCCCAGAGAAGTTAAGAGACTAGTGAAGTTAGGAGGTAAATAGTTCTTACAAGATTTGGAACCATTTTGAGCTTATGTCTCTCTAAATCGTGTAGTTACTACAAGGAGGTAGCGGTTTTGCCTAAACCATAGGATCAAAGACAAAAAGATTTTTATTACAAATGTGTGAATATATAGGAAATATTGCAATCTTTAAAAATAATCAAACTCCAAGTATGAAGAGCATGATGTGGCCAAGACTGTTAAATATTTCAATATAATGTGTCTCAGTATTTAAGACTCTATAGCCTTGAGATCTAAAGGTGAAAGATATTAGGAGTTAAAATCATCACCTATGATCACCATTATTTGAGGTGGAATAGCAGTAAATACAATTGTTTTAACTGCATTGTTACCTCCATCCATGTTTTTTAATTACTGTGATAAAAACAGGAATTTGTGAAGCAACACAATAAACTTTTAAAACAGCAAATATTTAACTTTAGAAAAACTGTCTTAAAATAGTATCTCTAAAGTGGATTTGTTATTTATTTGGAAAATCTTGAAATTAAGAAGCAATCATTAAGCACGACTTTCTGAATTTGTATTCAGAAACACATCACTGTATTCAGAAATACATCATTGTTTCTGTTTTTATAAACTAAAAGCCTCTGGGGTTTTTTGGTAAGATTTTATTTTTAAGTTATCTCTATACCCAATGTGGTGCTCCAATTTACAACCCTGAGATCAAAAGTGGAATGCTCCACCGATCAAGCCAGCCAGGCGCTCCCAGCCTCCTGCTTTTAAAATTCTTGCTGGGGTGCCTAGGTGGCTCAGTAGGTTGAGCTTCAGATTTCGGCTCAGGTCATGATTCTCAGGGTCATATCACCATTGGTGAGTTTGAGCCGGCTTCCTGCTCGATGCTGTCAGCTCAGAGTCTGGAGCCTTCTTTCAGTTCTGTCTCCCTCTCGCTCTCTACCCCTCCCCCACTTGCGCGCTCATCCGCGCTCTCTTTTTCTCGCTCTCAAAATGGGGCACCTGGGTGGCCCAGTCGATTAAGCCTCCGACTTCGGCTCAGGTCATGATCTCAAGGATCGTGGGTTTCAAGCCCCCTGACGGCCTCCGTGCTGACAGCCAGCTCAGAGCCTGGAGCCTGTTTCAGATTGTGTCTCCCTCTCTCCCTGACCCTCCTCTGCTCACGCTCTCTCTCTCTCTCTCTCTCTCTCTCTCTCTCAGAAATAAATAAAACATTAAAAAAAATAAAAAACATTAACATTCTTATTGTAAGTCTACCACTGTAGCCTTACATTTTCATATTTCCCCATTTTAAGTATTTACTATTACTATTATAATAGATCCTTTACTATGTCAAACTTTCGAAAATTATCTTGTAGTTGTAATAAGATATGACTTCGGTGAATAAGTTTTTACTTCTACAAAATATGGAGAGTGGAAATGTACATGTAAATCATTCGCATCTTCCTGTTTTCAAAGGTTATAGGAATGGCTAATCCTATGATTCATGACGCTGGATTTAACCACACTCTCTTCTGCATAGATAACAGAAAACTTCTTACATTTTTGCAACTGTTTGCATCTTGGAGCAGTTGTGTATAAATCGAGAAACAGCGTCATATCAATCCTGCACATTTGTTGCCTCAGAGGAGAGCTAGCAAAGGATTGACCACAGTTCATTTAAAAAAAAAAAAGATACTATAGTTTATTAAAAAGCGAAACCAGATTGTATGTTTGGGGTGGAAAAATCTGCTCTCAGGCCTCCAGGGGTTAGCGCCAGTTCTATATCGCCTCCCTCGGTCATTTTTTCTTCCAGTCTCATTTCTACCCAAGCTAGCCAAGGGAGTGTACTCGGCCTAGATTTTTAAGGTCCTATCCTGGGAAACGAACGCACCGGGCCAGGCCCACACGGAGAAGAGTGGGAGAACCATAAGGCTTTCCGGGGCCACGTTTGTGACTACTCAGACCTGAAGCCCATATTTGAAAAGGCTCACACCGCCAGGTCGAGTCCTCGCGGCAGCGCGCTCTCCGCCCGGCAGGCGGCGCTGTGGGCTGGAGGGCTGTGTCCGCCAGCGATCCGGTCTGGGAGGCCCGCGCTGGCCGCTGCGGCCGCAGCCACCGCCGCACGTGTAGCCGCTCCCGGCCTAGGTGGCCCCGCTTCGCCAGAAGCTGCGGCCGGGCGCCGGCCATGGCGGCGGCTGAGGCGGGGACGCGCGTGTTCCTGGAGGTGCGGAGACGGCTGCAGAGCGCGCTGCTGATCCTGGGGTAAGGCCGGTGCTGGGCGCGTGGGGCTCCCAGGCGCAGTGCGGCCTGCGTTTGTGCTGGCCCGGGAGCCTCGCCTCCCTCAAAAGCACGGAGTTTTGAGTTCCTTTCTAGTTGCTTAGAGCCTGTCCGTTACTCAAAGTGGGGCTTCCCCTCCCACCCCTCGTGCTTCTAGTCCCCCCGTGGCTAGTAATCTCGGCATCACCGGGGAGCTTTTCAGAAATGCAGTCTCAGCCCCACACGAGACCTGCTGAATCAGAACTTACATTTTAACACGCTTTCCAGGACTCAAAATACACACTGACGTTTTGAGGAGCGCTGATGACACATACCAGTGTCCGGCTTTAACACAAACTGCAGCAAATGCCTTGCCTGTTTCTTTTTGGGATCCTCATTGGAGGGTAAGTTCCAATATGAGCTCTCCCTGTTTTGTACATAAACTCGAGTTGGGTTTTTTTTTTTCTTTTTGTTTTTGCTTTGGTCTATATCTCTCTCTACACCGTTTTCTGCAGAACGACTAACAAAGGTTGCAGGCTTCTTATTGGAGCTCATTCATATTCCACGTTCCAATGAGAAGTCAGCAAACGTTTGACTCGTTATTCACTACACAAACTTTAAGGAGAAATGTTCTTTTTTTTTTTTTTTTTTTGCTTGTTTGGTATGTGGTCTGCTCGATTATTCCCTTGCGACCGCTGTTTCACATAAAGTAAACTAGATGTTAAAATCCTGAAACTTACTAACAGAGCTTCTCTGAAGTCGATTCATGCCTATCTTTCTTTTCCATATATCCGCCGAGTATAGGTGTGGCAGTGGGATTTGGCATGAGACCGGAGTTCAAATCCTAGCTTCTTCACAAGGGCAGAAGTGCTTAATCTGATTTTTTTTTCCGTTGTAAAATGGGGAGGATATTTATCACCCTTCTTTCTCTTTTTCTTCTGTTTCTACCTCTCGAATCGTAAGTTCAAACAAGTATCTCGGATTCTAGTCCACTTTTTAGGGTTATTAGCAGCCTCAGACTTCTATTAAAACAAAAACCAGACAACCTCTCTACTTCCTCTTATCAAAGGGGCCCTTCAGTATTCCCTTCGGTTACTACTCTCCCTTGTTTAAGCAAGTGAAGAAACCTGATTTTGCTAGACTACTAGTTTGTCCCTAATGGTCTTTGGCTGTTGGACTTTATCACCGTCTTGCCCCTTGTTAAAGCAAAAGCAACCACTCTTCTGATTTTATTCAACAAAGATTAGTTTTGCCACATATATACATATATATTTGCCATACATATATTCTTTGTTGAATATAAATGGATTCATACAGTATGTACTTTTTTTGTTTCTAGCTGCTTTCCTTTAACAGTGGTTTTGAGATTTATGTTTCATCTATGTCATTGCACATGTAGTCCGTTCTTTTTTCTCACTGAGTAGTTTTCTACTGTATCAATATGCAATTAATTTATCCATTCTATTTCTGGATATTGTGTGTATCTCTAGAACTTTATTATTGTGAATAAAGTTGCTGTAGCATTCTTGTATAAGTGTTTTAGTGGGTATACATTTTCATTTCTCTTAAGAAATGACCTAATTCTATAATGGTACAAAGCGGTATCTCATTGTCATTTTAATTTGTATTTTCCTGGTTAATAACATTGAGTACCTTTTCACTTGCCTTTCGGTCATTCATACGTGTTCCTTTGGAAAGTGTCTTCTAATTTTTTATCATTAAAAAAAATCGGGTTGTCTTATTGTTGAATTTAAAGAATTCTTTATATACTCTGGAAATAAGAGCTTTCACATTCATGCCATTGTGAATATGCGAACACTTGCTCCCAACCAGTAACCTACGTTTTCATTTTCTTCATAGCATCTTTTCAAGAATAGAAAATTCTAATTAGAATGAAGTTTGGTTTATTGCATTTTTTTCTTTAATCATTAGTTTTGTTTGTTAAGAAATCTTTGCCTACATCAAGGTTGTAAAGTTTTCCTCTTATGTTTCTTTTCTAGGAGTTACATAGTTTTAGCTTTTACAGTTAGGCAAAATTCATTTTTCTGTCTCTGGGGTAAGATGGGATGAAATTTCTTTTTTTCTCTAAGGATATCCAGGGTTTCTGTCACCATTATCTTAGAAGATTGCCATTTCTCCCACTGAAATAACTCAGTGTCCTTGTTGGAAAACATTCAACTTTACTGTTTGGCATCATGTATCTCTTTCTATCCTTTCACTATTACCCTATGTCTTTACTTATACATTTTTTTAATGTGTTTTTGTTTTTTGTTTTGTTTTTTTTCTGAGAGAGAGAGACAGCATGAGCAGGGGAGGATCAGAGAGAGAGGGAGATACAGAATCTGAAGCAGGCCCCAGGCTCCAAGCTAGCCGTCAGCACAGAGGCCAACACAGGGCTTGAACCCACGAGCTGTGAGATCATGACCTGAGACGAAGTTGGACACCCAACCAACTGAGCCACCCAGGCACCCCTAAATTTTTTTAATGTTTATTTTGAGAGAGAGAGAGCACGAGAGAGCACATGCAGGGGAGGGGCAGAGAGAGAGAGAGAGAGAGAGACAGAATCCCAAGCAGTCTCCACCCTGTCAGCACAGAGTCTGACACGGGGTTTGATCTCATATTCCCTGAGATCATGATCTGACCCAAAATCAAGAATCAGACAGTCAACCTACTGAGCCACCCAGGTGCCTTTGTATATAAATTTTTAAGACATATGCTGGGTGGAATTTTTCTAAATCCATTCTGATAATCTCTGCATTTTAATGAAAATTTTTAGTCTATTTACAGTTAATGTAAATGATATGATTGTTCCTTTTTTTTTTTTTCTTTTTTTGTAGAAAGAGACTGCAAGTAAGCTACAGGGTGAGAGAGAATCCCACAAGGGGCAGAGAGAGAGATAAGCAGGGCTCATCTGAGTCTGGGCTCAAGTTCACCTGAAGTGGTGTTCTAGCTCACCCTACGCAAGACTCAAACTCATGAACTGTGATATCATGACCTAAGCCAAAGTCAGATGCTTAACCAACTGAACCATCCAAGTGCCCCTAATCTTTTTTTTTTTTTTTGAAGTTTTATTTATTTACGTAGTCTCTGTACTTGGAGTATGGCTCAGACACGTGACCCTGACATCAAGAGTTGCATGCCCCTCCAATTGAGCCAGCCAGGCACCCATCTTGTTCCTAATCTTAAATATTTCTAGGGGTGTATGAGGGGCTCAGTCAATTAAGCACCCAACTCTTAATCTCAGCTCTGGTCTTGATCTCAGGGTTGTGAGTTCATGCTTGTGTTGGGCTCCACACTGGGTGGGAAGCCTACTTTGAAAATATATGTATGTATATGTAAGAAGTGCTTCTAGTATTTTATCATTAGGTATGATGAAATTGACTTTTTGGCAAATCCATGTGGTAGATTGCATAGTTCCTTTGTATTCCTATAACAGATGTAAAGATGAAAAGAAAAAATATGACCATCATGATAAATGCAGAAATCATTACAGAAAATATAGTATCTGTTCATGGGTTTAATCATCTGTGAATTACATTAGAAAAATCTATTTATATTAAGCTATCTCAGCATTCCTGGGATAAACCTTGGCCATTCATTTATTCATTCCACAGATGTTTACTGAGTTCCTATTCTAGTGTCAAAAATTCAGGTTCTAAGTGCTGAGTATTCAGCTGTGAACAGTGACAATAGCAAAAACAAAAATACTTGGCTACCGTTGTGCTTACAGCCTAATGGTGGCAATGGGTGAGAGGTGAACAGAAATTATACAAGATAAATAAAACATATAGATATACTTGATGCTTATTTACTTTTGAGACACAAACACACACACACACATATAGTATGAGTGGGGGAGGGGCAGAGATAGAGGGAGACACAGAATCCAAAGCCAACTCCAGGCTCTGAGCTGTCAGCACAGAGCCTGATGTGGGACTCCCCACAAATGCAAGATCATGACCTGAGCCGAAGTCAGATGCTCAACCAACTGAGCCATGCAGGTGCCCTTAAAACATATGTTATCTTAAATGGAGATAAGTATGTAGAAAAAAATAAAACACAAAAAAGATTAGGGAGAATAGATTACAAGCCATCATTCCAAGTGAGAAAGCAGCACTTGAGTAATAAACTGAAAGGACAGAGATTTGGAACTATGTAATGCTTGGTTCTCTCTTTCCCTCTGAAAGAACAGAAAATATGAAGGGGCGCCTAGTTCAGAGAGATGTGGGCAGGCTGGTGGAGCAGATAGAAAATGGTCTAACAGAGGTATGCTAGTAAATGTCTAAAAACTTGCTTTCCAGGAAAACCAATCAAACAAAAAAAAAAAGTCTTCCTGATTTGCAGCATTTACTACTTGCTATGATATAGATACTTTCAGTATAGATAATGAAGATATCAAGCTACCAAAGTGATGTCAGCTGGTTTGCAAAATGCCTGGAATTTTAGCAACATTCTCTACTATATCACCGGGTCTTACGGGCCATTGAAAGGATTTTAGCTTGTACTCAGAATGAGATGGGCAGTCATTGGATAGTTTCAAGCCAGGTGTGACTCCTGAAAGAATGTAAGTGCACAGTGAGGAAAGCCTGAAGTATATAAAAGGTATGGAAAATCAGGTCTCAAACACTTTGTTTTTGCAATCTCAAACTTGAGAGTCAGTTACTGTCACTCCTGGCGACATTACTGTATATTTCCTACAAACAGGAACATTCCGCTACATAACTACCATGCAACCTTCAAAGCTGGAAATATGTTGCCTTCTTATACTCAGACCTCACTCAAATTTTGCCACATGGCTACATATTGTCTATAATAGCAAAAGAACCCAGTTCAGAATCATGCATTGCATTTCATTGTCCTGTTTCTTTACCTTAGTCTCTTATTATTTTTAAAAAAATATCTATTTATGTTTGAGAGAGAGAGTGTGTGGGAGGAACAGAGATGGGGGAGGGAGGCAGAGAATTTAAACAGGCTCCTCTCCACCTGTGCAAAGCCCAAGGTAGGGCTCAAACCCACAAGCCCTGAGATCATGACCTGGGCTGAAGTCAAGACACTCAACTGACTTAGCCACCCAGGTGCTCCTTTCTTAGTCTCTTAAAATTTTTCTCCACCTTCACAATCTTGACACTTAAAGATTAACCTATTTATTTGGTGGAATATACTTCTATTTGGGTTTGTTTCATGTTTCCTCAAGATTAGAGTCAAGTTGTACATCTTTGGCAGGAATATCACAGAAGTGATGCTGTGTTTTCATTGCATGCTGTCAGGTGGCACATGATTTTGACTTATTCCACTAAAGTTCATGTTAACTTTGAGCACATAGATAAGATGATATCTGCTTTATCCACCATAAAGTTACCACCCCCCTTTTTTTTGAGGCTTTAACATTTTTATTTAGAAAAGG